CCTTTTTTTTTTTTTTTTTTTTTTTGTAAATCGCTTGAGTCTATCATTTAACTTATTTAGCTGCTCTAAATATTTCAAAAATATTTGAACGGATCCCTTTCCTGTTGATTTAGATTATAAAGTACAATTTCTATTGTAGAATCTCGTAAATTTATTTGCTTTTATTAAAGTGCATTAATTATAGCTGATAAATCAACTCCCAGCTACTTGAAGTTCAATTGCAATTAATATTGGCAAGCTTATTATTCAAATAACTTTTTCTTGGATTATTATTAAAAACTGAACCAACATTGACTAAAGTTTTGCTCTGTTATTCGTGGCAGAATTTCGTTTCAATTAAGACTTTCAATTATTTAATTGCCTCATGCACTTACACGGCACCTAGTGTAGGTCCCCACCCCTCTTCAATAAGGCGCCACTTTTTATTTTTTATTTTTATTTTTTAATTTTTGCTAATCAAACTGAATAAGGCGCCACTTAAATAGGTTATAAACTTTGCAATGCAATCGTATGATTAATGTTAGAGTTCCATGGTAAAGGCGAAATTAAATTTTACAACAATGTTAGTTTTTTTAATTTATCATAAAAGTATATTTTTCTTTCATGTCCCTTATAACATCATGTTACATTAATTATAATGTTAATTCAATAAAATCTCATGCCACACTAATTAAAAGATCTTATTAATTAAAATATTTTAATTGAAGTATTATGATATTATTAAAGATACACAAAAAATAGAAGAAAAGGAAAATATGCAAGTCAAATTCTTTTTGTAATATAAAAATAAAAGGGTAAACAGTAACATAACCACACAACCATGATATAAAAAACAAAAAGAATATTAATAACATGAGATCCTTAATAATAATTAATATGAGAAAAAAATCACACCCTGAATTCCCGAAGTTCATTTTATTCTTCAATCTTCCTAACTTTTCAAACATAATCTAATGTTAAAATAAACAGCGAACGGTTATGCTGGGTGCCCTGCCTCAAATTTGACAAAGGAAGAATTTCATAATTTTGTGATATTATTAGGGTTTCTTTAGGAAAGATTTTAAGGCTTATTCGGGCGCTTAAACAACCACATAATCCCTTACAATTTGTATGTTTTACGGAATTATTTTTCCTATTTTGATGGTGTGTGCCACATAGGCGTAGACATTATCTTATTTATCTTATTTATAAAATTGACGAATGTTAGTTGTTACAAATTTTAAAAAACGTTGTAAATTGAAAAACGCATTGTTATATATGAAGCCTAAAGTTGAAGGACGGATATGAAATTGTTCTGATTAGGCAAGGTAATGGATGTTAGGTTTCACAATTGAAAATGCTGTCTCATGCACTTCTTGTTGTTGTTGTTGTTGATAAACGTTTTAATTTACACAAACACATTACTTATAAAACCTAAATTGGAGGAAGGATACAAAATTTATCTAAGCCCTAAGGAAGGTAATGGATGATTATTATTAGCCAAAGAACAGTACGAAAAGAAAGAGAGAGAAAAGAACAGTGAACATCAGTCGGAGCACCGGGCCACCTCCGAGCATGTCGCTGGACTTCCGGCCTTAAAACTTCATTCTTGGGATTGGTGGTTGGGTGCCGATATTTTCTGACGTGTCCTCCGTCTAGTGGTTGAGCGCCCCCATGGTTTTTTTCCACTTGATAACTGGCTTCTTTGGGCGGTGGTGGGGTTGGTATCCGGCCACAGTGGTGATTGATGAGGGCCAAATGCCGCTATTTGCTGATATTTTCCGCCTTCGCCATGCATCTTTGCAAGCTCCTCAACAATTCCTTCGGCAATAATTGTCCCATGTGGTTTTCTTTTGCTTTTTGTGTGTGTGTGTGTGTTTCATTTTTTTTTTTTTTTTTTTTTTTTTTTTTAAAAATGGGGGTTTTCCCCTTTTTGTGTCTGTTTTCATACCGCTAGATTTGTGTCTTAGTGATCTTTTATTTGGCCTTAGTGTTGCAGGTCCCTCGATTTCGATTGATCAAATTTATGTAGAGAAATTGTCCAAGAACCATGCGTGCTCAATATTTAGTGTACCTTAATGAGTGTTTGATTTTAGAACTCGGTAAACGCTTCTTTCTCTTAAGCATTTCATTCAAATTTATTGATGGATCTGATTGCTTATTAGAATAGTGATTTTCTTATAATTTGTGGACATTTGAGTCGAAACTGATATTTGTATTTTCTTAATTTGGAGTCCTATTTTCAAAACAAAAAAATAAAAAAAAAGCTGTGTTATATATGTTGTTGTTGTTATTATTATTATTATTATTTTATTTTTATTGTCTCATGCGTTATTAAACAAGTAAACAACTTTAGAATTATTCTTAAAAAAACTTTGAGAACAGAATCTTTAAAAAAAAAAAAATAGAGTGCTTACTAAGCATAATATAACTATAAATTTGACGCCTAATTTATAAAATGTATAGTTTAAATCTCTCATATGGTGAGTAAAAAAAAAAGAAACAAAAAAAAAATATAAAGCCACCTGGAACTTACCAATCCATATGTACATCCCAAAATGCACCGATCCATTCCCCACTTCTCAACAGACAAATAATAAAAACTAGCAGATAGTTTTCCCTCTTCCCAATAGACAAATTAAAAACTAGTTGGTCATCATAAATATGGCTGCCAAAAGAAAAATGACTATTTTCCCGATGAGCTGGATCGCAGTTATAGCCCACAAAAATCCCAGTTGACATTCTTGAATTCATAATATAATTGCTAGCTTCACAACTACCTATATTGTCAAATTGGCATATTAATTCTCCATAATTACTATACATGCAAGTGACAACAAAAATATTGCTTATCCCTATCTACACTGCTGCCAGATGGTAATGTAGGACTTTGATTTTGATTTTGATTTGGAACTCTAGACTAGATGTCAATTAAAACTCTAATTAAAGAACAATATATGTCTAATCCCATCGTGATATATATGAACATTTCTTCACGGATTTAGATTTTATTTGGCTTAATTATAGTAAACCATGCGGTTTCATGATATGTTGTGGCCGCATAATTGACATGTAAGGGAACACAGAGCCCCTTGGCAATCATTTAATGGAAACATTAAATTGCTTGGATATGGTGGTTGTGCAAAGTTGTTGTGAGGCTCATCCAACCAAAGAATTTCAGACCAATATATAGAATATATATATTTGTAATATACATAAACATACAGGCATATACATATAATATATATATATATATATATATATATATATATATATAAAAGATCTAGTGCTACTACACAACTTGAGTGACGCTGCTCTAATATTATAATTTGCTGAATAATATTATGGAGTCTGAAGAAGGAATAAGATGGAGAAAGCCAGCTCTGAAAGCTATAGAAACAAAAGTTAAAAAAAGCAAAGGAATAATAGATCATGAAGGAGAATTAGAAGAGCCAGTGAGCCCAGCTGGGCGGATGTTCCATGAACCAAACTTCAACGTGCATGTGATAGCAATCATGGGTTCAAAGTACAAGATTCAACCGGATGTTGCCAAGGCCAACGCCCCTAAAACTCTTCTCAAGCACCCCCGCTTCTCTAGTTTGCTGGTCAGAAATATTATACTCAATTACATATTATTCACACGTGGTTTCATTATGAACAATTAATTAATAATTAGTTATTTGATTGTTATTGTTGAGACTCAAAAACACTTATTAAACATGCATGTACACAAATTCGTTAATTATTTAGCTAGAATATATTCTTTTCTTTCTTCTATATTAAATGTTTCCCCCGCTTGGGTAATATAATATGTACTCTTATTATTATATTAAGCTTGAGTGCTCTTTTTGAGTTTAGTGTCATGAATCATGACACTAAACTCAAAAAGAGCACTCAAGCTATGCCTGTAACTCATTTACATCGAGTGTTTTAAATTCACACACGTATATGTAGTTATTTTCATTATCATTATCGAAGACCCCAAAAATTAGTAAATTGTTGGGAAGAAAACACAATTTGTTAATTTTGCTCGCTTTTATGGAACAATTAATTAGTTATTAACAATTAATTAAAACATATACAAACCTCTAGAAATTATTTGTTTCAGGTTGTGGACGATGAAGGAAAGATGAAATGGGTTAGAACAGAGGTGGATTTGGACAAGCACGTCATAGTTCCCGACATTGATATTCCAAACATTGAATCCCCAGATAAGTTTGTGGAAGACTACATCTACAACCTCACCAAAACCAGCCTCGACAAGTCCAAACCTCTGTGGGAAATCCACATCCTCAACCTCAAAACCTCCGACGCCGAGGGAGTGGGTATTTTCCGGATTCACCACTCCCTCGGCGACGGCACGTCGCTCATGTCCCTCCTCTTGGCATGCACGCGACAAGTCGCCAACCCCGACGCTTTGCCGACGCTTCCGAAGCATAAGAAGAAGGACGAAAAGGGCGGCTTCATTAGAAGTTTTTCGCAGTGCTTTTTTGGCGTATGGTGGCTTCTAGGGTTGTTTTGGAATACCATGGTTGATGTTTTTATGTTTATGGCGACGTCTTTGTTCTTGAAAGATACGGCGACGCCTATCACGGCTCCTCCGGACAGTGTGCGGAATCCTCGACGGATTGTTCATAAGACGGTTAGTTTGGATGATATGAAGTTGGTGAAGAATGCTATGAACATGGTAATTCATTTTCTGCTTTTTAATTTAAGTCTTATTTCTCTTATTTTTCCTCAATTTCCTTCAATGAAAATGAAACGAATTAGTAGAAGGATCTTTTTACCTAGTGTATCATATTAAAAATAAATATGAATCTGATAAAAATTTAACGGGTTGAAACAGAATTTTATTATAAACTTCTTTTTAATAGACACGTCTTACGTAAAAAAACTGTAACTTTTTTGAAAAATGGATACGATAAGGGAATTATAGGTTTCAAACGAAGCATTCGGGACGTTCAGTTCGTTGATTTGAGTTTTTAATTCGAGTTGAGATGTGACTTTATGTGAGAATTTTTTATTGTAGTAAAAAAGTTAGAAGTGATTGTTTCTGAGAGCTTTTTACTGTAATAAAATTTAAATTTTAAACTCAAATCGACGAAATGAACGAAACTAAATATGTGTAAAAAAATAACAATAAAAAAATAAACTCCAAAAATGATAATAATGGTATGAACACCAAGCTAGAAGAGTTCACATCAAATGGTTGGGGTGCCATTGTAGGACCGACTAGGCGTAACATATAATTAGATTTCAGAGATGCAGTCCTCGAGAGATTGGACCTCGCACCTACTTTGATTTGTTACGTCTTTATGACTAATTAAGCTGCCACGTGCTGAGTGATTGATATTTTCTTCGTCAGAAATGTGTCCTCTTAATTATTGCTTGTTCTTTTAGCGAAAAACAATGGTTTTTCATAAATACTATACATGGCGCAATAATATTTCTCCAAAAAGATTGGTTTTGAATCCACTAGTATTAATTTGGTAATAATCACAACATTAATGTGATATAATAATCACACTAATAATCGTGTAACCCTACAATATGTCGATTATCGAGATTGGTTTATTTTGTTTTTTTCAGGTTTTATTAAGTGACAGTCGACGGCATTTTTTTTTTTTTTCAAAACAGTTCAAATTTAATTTTTCGCCCTCTAGTGATTAAAAAATAAAATGTAAGATGTATATATATCCCAATAATTTAAGATCATTGTATAGTCCAGGATTTTAGGATTATGATTTTCTACCGAAAACTTGCTCTTATATGATCTTTGAAAAAGGGAACTGAATGGTACAATATTGATCAGTGGCGAATAAAATTAGGAAATCGACTCTTATATCTTCTTATTTGTGTCTCTTTTTATGTCCATTCGATATTATCATGTTATATTAATTAAATAATTACGTCAATTAAAAAATCATAACAATTAAGTAACATATCATAATCTTATTAGAGAGACACGCAAAAAAATGTATGAACTCAATCCTAAAATTAGTAGTAGGTTTTTTTTTTTTTTTTTTTTTTTGACGTATTATCGTGAAGCTCACATGCTTTGCATTGGCCTGCAGACAATAAACGATGTTGCCGTTGGAATCACGCAAGCTGGTTTGTCTAAGTATCTCAATAGAAGATATGGTGAGTTTTAGCATTTTTCCTTTTTAATCTAGGATATTCGGTTTTTTTTTTTCCTTAATTAAGTTTATATTGCTCACCGCAAGAAAGCCACACTAATTTGTTTCTCTATATTTGGTGTATTACTTATAGGTGAGAAAAATAATAATGACAAAGGGGCAACCGAGAGCAAAAATAATCTTCCGAAAAATATTCGTCTCAGATCTGTTTTGCTCATTAACATTAGACCATCAGCAGGAATACAGGTCACTAGTGATTTTTTTTTTTTTTAACTCTCAACTTGAACATACTTTTTGCATACATGTATAACTTTCATGTATAAATATAGGATTTGTATCATTTTATTTTTTCTATCTTTCCCTAACAATGGGCAGGAATTAGCTGATATGATGGAGAAGAACGCTGAAGCAAAATGGGGCAATTGGGTTGGTTATATTCTCCTTCCCTTTGACATCGGTTTAAGGGATGACCCATTAGAGTACATTCGCAGAGCCAAAAATACTATCGATAGAAAGAAGCATTCTCTTGAAGTTCTCGCCACTTCCGCTATTGCAAATTTACTCCTTAGAGTTTTGGGCATCAAGGTATATTTATGTGTCACAATTTCCAACTTAATTATAATCTAAAACCCTCAATTTAGCGCGTTGCATTATATCTCTTTTATAGTAAATGAAGAGAAAAGATAATTGACAAATTCGTTTTATTAGTGAATAATGCCCATGAGCTCCTTCAAATATTTGGCTCCCATTCGAAATTTTTTAAATTTTCTTCTTTCATTTGTCCCCCTGAAAATTTTTTAATTACAACATTTACATGAATTTTTTTTTAAAAAAATTTCAGTTTTACCTTAAGTTTTAATTCTTTTAAGTACTCTTATCTCAAACTTAAAATCTCTAATAAGTCAAAGATACAAAGAGACAAATGAAGGTAAAAAGAGTATTGTGTTGTAGTTTAATTTAAGTTTTTTGTTTCATTTATGCTTCTCTAAAAAAAACATTATGGCTCCGCCACTGCGCCAGTGCATGGTATAGGACACATTGTGGATTTATTTTCTACTAATTGCGGTTTTATTTTCTACTAATTATGGTGTTTAACATTGGATTGGTGGTGCTGGCAAAGCATCTTTCTCTATAAGTAGCGACCTCAACTAAGTAATTGCACCTATGACTGATAACATAGCTCAATCATGTATAATTGTGTTATACGATTATAGTCCTGAAATTCACACTCTAGTGTTGTTGCTTGTTAACAGAGAGCAAGTGCTCAATCCCACAGAATTTTCAGCAACACCACATTCGTTTTCTCCAATTTAACCGGACCACTTGAGGAAATTGGTATTTACGGCCATGAATTAGAATACCTCGCTCCAACTTCTTACGGCCAACCACATGTAAGTTCTAAAATTTTGTGCATCTAGTAAACAAACTTAGACTTAATAATTCTTTATTAATTAAAATTGTATATATCCATTAAAAATATCATCCAATAATACTACTAACGAGGTTCTCTATATATCAAAAGGGAAAAAGAAATTAAACAAACAACGTATTAACGAGCTCTTTTTTGTGTTTATATTGCAGGCGTTGATGATTAATTTTCAGAGTTATGTCAACAGGATGACTATTGTTCTCTCGGTGGATGAAAGAGTTTATCCTGATCCTTACAAGTTGTGTGATGATATTGCAGAATCGCTTAAGCAAGTAAAAGATGCTATCATAGAAAAGGGGCTTGTCAAATAGTAACTAAATATTGGAACAACTGCAACGAAATCAAGCCCTATGTTTTCAAGAATTCAACCAAACAATTAAACTTTGTAAATTTTAGGAACAATTCTCATTTATATTGGCTTGTTTTCATTTATCGATGATTGTGTCTAATAGACACTTTTATGTCATAATTATTACTTAATTTGAAAATTTGAACATATTGGGACTTCCAAATACAATAAGAGATCCTTCAAGTCAATAAAATTTATTTTCATATCCTTTATTGAGTTAAATGTGACAATTTTCCCAAGTCTTAATTTTTAAACATTGTTTTTGTTAGCTCAATAGTTCAATTTAATATATTTGGAGCTTATCGACGTACTCTGACCGCTAATACATTCAGTAGAGTTGAGGTGATGTCCTTCTTATCGAGTGGTAAGGACTACGGCTAACATTTAGGATCCTCGGTGAACATTTCTATCATCGTCTGAGACAACTCTCGTAATAATTATAGGGGTGTTCATATCATATCCTCTTTTTTCTTTCTCTATACATTTTGGGGTCATTTCAGATTTCTTCTTGAATTTTAAAAACTCTCATTTTGTCCCTTAATTTTTGATTTAGTCCCACTCAAGTCTTTTTGTTAGAATTTTTGTTATAATTATAAGAAAAAAATATGGGTTAAGTGTGGTCACATGGTCTTTTTTTTTGTATTTTTTAACAGAAATCTAACAAAAAGACCACCCGATGACATCCCTCTTTTTTCCCGTACTCTTAACAAAAAAAAAAATAACAAAAGAAGTTAGATGAGAATACTTTAAAATTTAGGGGCAAAAAGTTAGAGTTTCTTTAAAGTTTGGTAGACAAAATAGAAATAACCTTAAAATTTAAAAGGCATTAACGTAATTAAGCTTAAAATAATTTAACTGACATGATATTTTAATTGATATAGAATGATATTTTATTTTACATGATATTTTAATTAACAAGACAAACATATTATTAGATAGTTTTGAAAAAGAAACGAAAACAAACAAACAAACAAAAAGGTCAAATTCTTATTTTTATGAGATCAAGTTAAGTAGACAAACCATCTTTTTTGGTATCTTCATCTTTTTTGGTATCTTTACATTTGTCACTCAAAGCGTAAGTTTGTGCTATTTAAGATTTTTTTTAATTCCTTAAAAAAAAAAGAGATAATTTTTTAACTGTTTTCTAAAAGGGCGTGGTTTTACTATACTACTTTGATGGCGTAAATGTTAGTTAATAGTTAATACTATTTTGAGTGGTATTTTTTTCTCCCGTTGTGTGATAATGCCGGTGGTCCCTTCGTGGACCTTCTTACTTGAAATAAATAAATAAATAAAATTTTTGGGTGTGTTTGGAATTGGTTCCAAAATATTTTTATTTTTTATATGAAAATAGAAATGAAAACGTTTTCATTTTTATTTTGAAATTATTTCTGAAATGCGTTTGGTAGTTTTATTCAGAGATTGATTTCAGTTTAAAAAAAAACTGAAACTGTGTTTGGTGGTTTAATTTTTAAAAACATGTAATAATATTTAAAATAATAATATATTAAATAAATAATATTATTAAATAAACATCATTATATAAGACAAAAACGGTTTCAGAAAAGAGAGAAGAAAATGAAAAAAAAAAATGAAATCCGTTTTCAGAAAATGAAAACACATTTTTTTTTGTTTTCAATTTTTTACAAAAGACAAAAACGATTTTGTTTTCATTTTTAAAAAAATTTTAAGCCAAACGCATTTTATGTTTCCGTTTTCATTTTTTAATCTCAAAAAACGTGAAAAATAGAAATAAAAACGGAAACAAACATGGCCCTTAATTCTCTGTTTTCGCTTCTCAGTCGACATTCTGCTAATTGATGAGTTACGTAAGATCTTTGATGTGGCTGCCCAGGGTACAAATGGCACTTACAATTTTTTTGTTTTTTTTTTGGAAAAATTTCATATTAGCACTTTGTGTTACAATGTAATTATTTTTTGATACTCTGTATTTTTAGTAATTTTGAATTAATACCTTGACGTTTTTAAAAATATTTTTTAGTATCTTGAGGTTATTTTTTAAGATGTAAAATATTAAATTTATCATTCTCATTACTTTATCAAAAACTAATAAATTTAGAAAAAAATTCTAAAAAAAATATCTTTTAATTTAAAGCAATATTTTTATTTTTAATTTTTAAATGTTTAAAAAAATTCAGAATTTTTTTAAACTTAGTATTATTTTTTGATTTATTAATGAGAATGGTAACTTTGACATTTTATATTCCAAAAAATGACCTTAAAATATTAAAAAACAATTTTTAAAAACATCAAGGTAATAATTTAGAATTATTAAAAACACGTGATACCAAAAGACAATTACGCTATAACATATAACATAGGATACCAATATGAAATTTTCTTTCTTTTTTTTTTTCCCCTTTTAAAGCAATGGCATATCTTTTGATTAAAAAAATGTACCGTCAATTTACAAAATATTCACGTAGGAGAAATAAAAGGTGGCATCTTTTAATACGTACGTTAAGCTGTACTTTTCCCTTATTAAGATACATTCCAAGAGGTTGTTGTTAGCCACTAAATTTAGTAACGTTTTCAAACTTACACGGTTTTGACTTTTGCCTACGCCATTACAATTGAGATCAACAAAAACAGAGGGCAAAAAATAAAAAATAAAAAAATAAATAAAGAAGAAGAAAGAAAAAGCATTGATAAACCCTTAAAACACAAATAAATTTGGGACTGTAACATAAACGTCATTTCAATCATTTGTCCTCCCTTAAGTTTCATAATATAGTTGATTCTCCGAATTGATTCTAATATATATACCCCTCCCAGATCAGTCGTGTATATATATATATATATATATATCAAATCATCATTTTTATTTGTGAGTGTTCTGAGGATGGAATGGTCTGCTACATCGGCCACAAGAGCTTATCTTGATACCATTAAACTGGTCAGCTCCTGATTTTCACTTGATCTTTTCTATTGGTTTCTTTGTCTCATTTCATTTTTGTTCTTTTTTTTTTTTGTCTTATATTTTTCTGATAACTCAACGTTGTGATTGATTCAATTATCATTGATTTTATGATGGATTGTGTAACCGATCTTAGATCTGAGAATGGGGTATGTTTTTCCTGTTTGGTTCTCCGTTTTTTCATTTTTCTGTCCGTCCATATAAGTAGTGCACGAAAACAAACAAGGTTTTTTTTTTTTTTTTTTTTTTTTTTCCTTATATGTGTGACATCCGGCTCTAAACTCGAAGCCTAAATATATCACATAAACGTGAAAATTTAACCATGAGATCACCATTTCCATTTATTGTATATGTCTGACATCTCGATATGATTGAATTATACATTACTTTTTTTTTTTTTTGCCCTTTGGTTTGTTGCTGGAGATCAGAATTTATAACAAGGCTTCATTATAGATCAGCTAGAATTATGGCATGTGTACCAGAATGAACAATTATTATTTTGATCACTTCTTGTTAATTGGGACTCAAAATAACTTTCACGGCTATTTAACTGTACCAATTGTTCACAACTCTTTTCATTTTCAGTGCAATGATCACAAGAGAAGATGCAAGTACTCATGGAAAACTCCAGAGCCCGGAAGCAATGAATTCGTATCGGCCTTAGCCGCAGGAATGAAAGCCAAGCTCATAGTGGAAGTGGCATCAACCGCTTCACCGTCAACAATTGCCTTGGCAGCCGCCGCTAGACAAACCGGAGGCAGGCTAGTTTGCATCCTGCCAGAGCCCGTCCTCTCCGAATCGAAGAAAGTGATCAAAGATTCGGGCTTAAGGGACTTGGTGGAATTCAAAACTGGCGACCCTTCAAAGCTCTTGCCGCGCTACGAGAACATTGATTTCTCCCTCATTGATTGCAAGAATGAGGACTACACAAGGCTGCTGAGTTTGATAGATGTCAATCCTAGGAGATCAGTGGTGGTGGCCAATAACCTGGTGGGTGAGAGCACAGGGTTGGAAGGTCATGTTAGGGGAATGTTGGAGGAGAGGGTTGCCGTGAGGTCGGTGAAGCATCCGATAGGAAAAGGCATGGAGGTGACCATGATTGGGACTAATGATTTGGACGTTGAAAAGAGAGATTGGGGTGGTGGAGGAAGTAGTGCTAGTGCTTCTTGTCGGGTTCGGAAAAGTGGCGGTTCGATGAAGAGGGCTGTTGATAAGAGCAAATGGGTTGTTCAGTTTGATGAGGAAAGCGGTGAGGAACACATCTTTAGAGTGCCTAAATAGCTCTTATGCATCATCATGAGCAGATGTTTTTTGGTGTTACCAAATGAAAGAATTGGTCAAGTGCAATGAGGGAAACTAAAAGGAAAAAAAGGCCAATTCTTTTCATTTCATAAGTTGAATTATCTCATTGTTTGGTCACAATGTTGATTAAATAATATATACGAAAACAGGGCAGGCTTAGCAGCTTATTGGTGTTAGAAGTGCAGCAATTCTTCTGGAGATGATGGATTCGCATGCTTTATATTAGCAAGATAGAAAGTTGAGGGGCCTTTGGGCGCATCGCATGCTTGTTATAAGCTATAATTGTGAGCATATCATGTTTCTTGCTTTTATTCATTTCAGCTAAAGTATGGAAAAGTAAGTAATTAGAATGGCATGTACTATATTAAATTAGGACTCCACGTATTTTAGAGTTCATTATGAGTAATTGTTTTGGGGAATCCATGGAAATAATACTATGGTTCATATTACCAGAGCACCTGCGGCTTTGTCGTTCAAAAAAAAAAAAAAAAAAAGGTCGCAAGACTCATTCTTAGTCTTTGAAAGAATGAGACATAAAAATTCTATTCATTCACAGTGCTCTCTCTCTCTCTCTATATATATATATGTATATATATGTATATATACACACACAGCTGGCCTATGTATGATCAGTGATCACAGTGTTCTTTTTCATGCATATAGATTAAATACAACCAAGGATTTTGCCATGATCTCCTTTTCTTTTTCTTTTTTTTTTTTTTTGAAACTTGTATTAGAAACCACATTTTTTTTCCACAATCGAATTCAAGCACATTCATGGCGATTTTCAAGTTATTTTATGTAACGCCTTTTAAGCTAGCAGGTGACTCGTTATTTTATTCATATCTAGCTAGCTTAAAAAACAATACTTTTCATGAACTTTCCTGAAGTAAAAATGGAGGAATTATTCAGTGGATCGAGTATTACGTCATCATGCTTATGTGTATACCCATTCAATAAAAAGATGACATTTAGATAGTTTGTTTACATTTATCTATACAATTATATTCTCTTTCTTAATGTATTTTGCATTAATTACTTAGTCAAAATTTCACCAAAAGTATCCCCTCAAAAAAAATTGATCATAAATGTTTTACTTAAATCTCTTATACTAGTTAACTTTCTTTAATACGTTCTTAATTTTGGAAATTTTATTTTTAACATTTGAATTTAATTTATGAAATGTTCAAGTGAATGTGTTAGACCCAACCTACAAGCGACTCTATACTTACCTCTTCTGCGATAAATATACAACTAAGAGTGCAATTGCTTCTGAAATTTCTTGAATCTATAGGGCTTATAATATATATTACTCTCACAAATTTCTCACGTTCTCTTGCATGCAAAACACAAGAACAGAGCCTTAGCAAGTATATATAAATGCACATACGCATATAATATACATATATGTCTATTTGTCATGCTTTCACTAGACGATATAGACTATGTACACAAGGCTCAATTGAATATCTAAAACTCTAACCTATTCATGTATGTAATGTACGTAAATTATTTATTTTCATTTCTGCAAATAAGCATAACTAAGATTTGAACCAGTACTAATATATGTATTACCATATACATGTATATAGCACCATATAGAACAACATATATAAATATGGAAACGATCCAATAAACTCTTAATATATAAGAATGTATAACAAAAATATGTTGGAGTCTATGTGAGTAGAACAAGAAATGGAGGCAAAGAAAACTAGAAACAAAGTTGATGCATATTAAGTATACTTCTTTTTTAAGGTTTTATTTGCTCTCATTATAAAATTTGCTAACGAGTTTTAACTGCAAATTACCTTAAAATACAACAAACTCTTGAACACATATCAAGAGTTAAAATATTCGGAGCCAAAATCTAATTCACGCAGGAACCAATTATGCCAATTATCCTTAAATCATTTTATTCCCTCCTATTCCTAATTTGATCTTTTTTATGTTATATATTCTTAAATAATTTCATATTTACCTGCAATTTTGTCGTTTTTAGGAATCAGTCGTTTTGTAGTTCTTGTCCCTTCCTTGCACTATTTGTCATTTTAAGAAATAACTTCGTTTTGAAGATTTTGTCGTTTTTGTTATTCCTTGCTTCCTTTATTTAGTTGTAGCCGGTCGGTTTGGTAATTGTGTCACTTCCATTAGGTTGTCGTTTTAGTCTTTTGCAATTTATTGTCTTTTTCAGCTTAGTTGTCGTGCGAGTTGCGACTTTGTTAATGTTGTCGTTGTCGCCTTCGTTAATATTTCATCGTTTCTGTTCTATGGCCCTTTCCTTTATGTTTGTGTATTTTCCTTAAGATGGTGTGGTTTATCAAATGAAATGTGCATGTTCTCAACTTTCAAGTATTATTATTATTAACCTTTTTTTTTTGTATTATTTATTTGTCGTTTGTATTTTCTTTAGCCATGTCGTTTGTCTTTTCTAGTTTTATTATCATTTTCTTATGCCATTGTCGTTTTTGGCACGCCGTCATACCTTTTTTTTTTTTTTTTGCTTTCTTTGGTTGATATCGTTTTTTTGTGGTTTTGTTTGCTTAAAATTTGCTCTCGTTTTAAAATCATTTACGTTTCACAATGATGTCGTGAATCGTTTTTAACTCATTTTTGTCGTATAAATACGCTGCCATTTTACCACAGGATGTCGTTTTCTATTATATTATCGTTTTTCAAAGCTTGTCTTTCCTAGATGCCCAGGAAAAAATTGGGAAATTGACATGGGACCCAAGAGAAGAATCAGAACCACAAAATTTTTTATTTTTTCTAAAAGACAATTCATTTTTATTTCTTTATTATTAGAAAACAAGTGATGCAATGTAGATCGGCATTCGAGGTTCAATAGTCCAATTATTGTTTATCCGTGAAACGGCCCTACCAAGTACCAACTACCCATTAAACAAAATGTAAGTTATTAGTCTCAATTTTCTGTTTAGTAACACAACTATCATCAATTAATTGACTAATTAATAAAGGAAAAATTGGACTACTTTATTCGTAGAAACCATTTTAGGTGATTTTTTTTCATGCGTTTAAAACTTCTCTTGGTCTCTCCCCTCTCCTTGTGTGTGGATAACAATAAATTCCCACGTAGCCAAAATTGAGGAGGGAAAAAATAAAATAAAATAAATTTAAACTGTTACTCTAGGCACATCAATTATGTTATAAAGTCAAGAAATACAAGAATGACAGACAACATGAATACTCTTTGCCGAAAGAGAAAGTGCCACACAAAAAAAAAATAGAATTTTTCTTTTTGGGAATACCAGGGTTTCTTACTTACTAGCTGTCAGATCCGTATTACTTTTTTAATTTAATTTGACTTTTAATTAGATTTAATACAGATCTGACAGCTAATAAGTAAGAAACACCGGTTTTTTTTTTTTAAAAAAAAAAAACACTACAGAAAATTTCAAAAAAAAAACTTTTCTGCTCATTAGATAACTTGATAGTAAGTTCTACCTTTTCAACCTCATCTGAAATGAGCAAAAAGATTTGTCTGAATTGCTTCATTATGCAGCATAATTAAGTGGTTCAACCGAAGTTGCAAGAAAACTAAACTTTACTATGCCACTTTTAAGGTGTATATTAAGTTGGGTATCAACTTAAATCTAATTATTCAATTTTACCGCTTTGATTTGTAAATTAGGCTTAAATTTTCCAGTGAAATGGTATGTTCAAATACTGATTCTCTAGAATTGGTATTCTTCTAAGTTACCCCACTTTTTGAGTTGGTTGTTATGTGGTAATTGAATTATTAAGATATTCAGTAAATTATTTTTCAGAGATTAAAAAATAAATTATTAATAATTTTATATTTTTTTTTAAAAAATTAATAATTTTCTATTTTCAAGAGCATATCATTAGAAACTATTTATTCTGTATATATATTTCTTTCTGTATATATATATTTCTTTTATTTTGATATGATTTTTTTATCAAACTAATGGTCAGAAACGTACGTTAACAATAAAAATAAAAAAGAAAATTGTAAAAAATAAGCCTAAATTTGAAACTTACAAAAAAAAAAAAAAAAAAAAAAAAAAAAAAAAAAAACAAAAACCCAAATACCAATGTGTAGAAATAAATAGGCCTTTTTGGGGTTTAAATTAATAGGTTTCCAATTTGACCCTTTTGCTAAAAAAAAAAAAAACCAATCTACCATTACCAATGTGTAGAAATAAATAGGCCTTTTTGGGGTTTAAATTAATAGGTTTCCAATTTGACCCTTTTGCTAGATTTTTATTTTTTTTTCTCATATCTCATTTGGCCTTTTGTTTGGATCTGCGACCTCTCTCTCTCTCTCTCTCCTCACCCGCTCTCGTAACTTCAGCTAGATGATGAAGACCGCCGATAGCGCAGCCGCTAGAGAAGGAACTCATGAGATTTGTCGCTCCCGAAATCACACGAAGGAGATGTCGATCTCTGTCACGGTCGCTCCGTCGCAAGGCCGAGGAGATCGAGAACTCTTGAGGCGATAGTGCTGTCACGGCTTTGCGACGGGCGATCTTTGATGGCCTTGCAGACGTTGGCGACGAAGCCACTTCACAGACGCAATTGACGGCAAAGAGATGGAGAGAGAGAGGGCCAGACTGAGGGAGGAGAGGATTTTGATCTTTTCAGATCAAAATTTTTGTTTATTTATGCAGGGGCATATTCAGAATTTTGATAGAGTGTAAATCTAAATGGGCATATCTCTCTAAGGGAAAAAGTTCAAAATTCAGTTTTTACGTAAAAAGAAAGAAAGAAAAAAAAAATTTAAAATGCAGTTAGAGAGAGATAGGCCGCTGGTAGTGAGTCTACAAGAATTAGCTAGCTTGGCGGGAATCATGATTGCCCGCCATCACCAACCACCAAGCTGCCCCACTTCACAACCAACTATATTCGATCGAACCTTCAAACCAAAGAGACTAAAACCTCCCAACCGCTTCCATAGATATGACGTCCTTTTCACAACCCCAATATGCTTGCTCCTCAACTCTCCTCTGAACCACTTGTCTCTCATTCTCAGTCGGGAATCTCCTTTCCGCTTTGTCGGTGTTCGGAATGGCAAATTCGGGACACGGGTTTTTTGTTTCTCGCTTCCTTGTTGGGTTGTGTCTTGTGAGGTTTGTCTTAATGTCCGAGATTTTTGTGTCTGCTGCTGATGATGATACTGGCCCTGTTGGTGGTTCTGGTGCTGCAGACACAGAGATTTGCAATAATGATCTGAGTAGTTTTCTGCCACCTCCTTACAGTAATATAACTAATGTTATTTGCAAGCCAGTTTGGAACACTTTTGTTTTGAGGGTAAGTTGGTCTGATCTGGATTCTGGTTCATTTTTTTAGTTCGTTTATGAGTTCTTGTTGTTTTCCTTTGATATGTAGCAGCTTGTGGATATTAGTAGAAATTCACCATTCCTAGGTACTTAGATTAATCCACGGCCAATGGGTAGCAGTCAAGATGTCTTTCTTTTTTTTCCTTTCACGTTGTGTCCATATTCGAACATTGACAGCCCCAATATAGGTCTTGCTCAGCCAATAGACTAGGCGGTGCTGAACCCATGAGGGTTTGCGTGAAATTGGCCCATCCTTCGAGGAGAATTGGGTCAATGCCCTTTTCATTTTAGTGGCGGGTCCAGAGCTTATTTATAGACAATGAGGATAGGTGCATGCGATATTTTTTTTAAAGATGAATACGAGATAACAAAATGCTACAAAGTGGCTTTTTGTCTCAGTTTCCCTAATAAAAAATACACTTCTTTTTGTGCAGTATACACAGGATGAAGACAATGTCGTCAACATTATACTATCTGCTGTATATACCACTGGATGGGTGGGAATGGGGTTCTCAAAGAATGGTCTGATGGTGGGGTCCAGTGCCATTGTGGGATGGATCACAAAAAAGGGCCAAGCAAGAATTAAGCAATTCTATTTGCAAGGTTCAAGGAAGTCCCAAGTCATAGCAGACAAAGGAGAATTGCCACTTACTGGTATTCCTGCTACTGTTGTTCTCCACGGCCCTAGAATTTACTTGGCATTTCAGTTGAAATTCGAAAACCGTCTCGCCCGCCAGCCGCTTATCTTCGCTTTCGGATTCACATATCCGAAGCACCTGCACCTATCTCAACATGATGACAAAACAACCATCATGCTCGATTTCTCCGCAGGTATAGGCCTTTTCCTTGAATGGCCTCTTGTAGTGGAAGGTTGCTCGTTTTCCTTGAACTTCCAAGTTGTAATTCATTATTGTTAAGGAACGTTTTGGTATAACCAACAATATCTAATGAACAAATATTGATGTTGAGAAGAAAGAGACTCAACTTTACTCTTTTACAGGTTCAGCAACTGCTGCACCAAGTAATCTGGGCCAGATGAAGAAGAATCATGGGATACTGGCCATAATGGGATGGGGTCTAATACTTCCTTTTGGGGCAATAGTTGCAAGATACTTCAAACACAAGGATCCTTTATGGTACTATCTTCATTCAGTTATTCAGTTTGCGGGGTTTGTCTTTGGACTTGCTGCAGTAGTACTTGGACAACAACTCTACAACAAAATAGGGGCCCACTTTCACACACACAGAGGCATTGGCATCTTTATTCTTGTTCTAAGCATTCTTCAGGTTTGTCTTTGGAAATTCAATTTGATGTAGCTTTTTGTGTCAATGCTAAATTACAAGTAAATTTTTAATGGTGTTTTGATATGTTCAGATATTGGCATTCTTTCTTCGGCCTAACAAGGAAGCGAAGATTCGCAAGTACTGGAACTGGTACCACCATTCTTTTGGAAGGATTGCACTCTTTTTTGGAGCTTTAAACATATTGTTGGGCATCCAGGTTGGAAATGCTGGGGATGATTTGAAAATAGGCTACGGATTTCTTCTTGGTTTTGTTCTTATCTCAGTCATTGTTTTGGAAGTACTGAAATGGATGAAAAGGTCAGAGGATACAAAAATGGACAACCCAAACTTTCAGATGAATCCAGTACCATGAACATTTACCAATACTTAGATGTGATAAGGTCTCTCTCTCTCTCTTGTTTTTACATTTCATTTATTCTCATATGAGTGACTGTATACTAATACCAGACTATTTTGATGAAGCAGGACTTGTATTGATGCTGAAGTTTGCATTTCTGACAAATTGTAAGAAACATCCCAGCTTGCAATAGTGAAGATTCTCAGAGAGGCCATGTTTGTATTGAAACACATTCCAGATCATGTGAAGATACTCTTTACTTGAGTTCCATTATGTGTGGCTGTTTTGAGTGTGGATGATAGAAAAACGACAACTGACTGGGTTTTTTGTTCAAGTTGAACGATTTTAATTTCAGTTTCCCCTTGGCCAAAGCTAACAGTTCCACTGCTCCTTTATGATGTCATGAAAGAATTTCTTTGCCGTCTCGACATGTAAATCCATGTTCCTGGTTGGATCAGCATTTTGTAAAGAACGTGAAAACATTTTCAATTCCTCGTTATCAGTATTGATTGATGTTTTTGAGAAAAAAAAAAAAAAAAAAAAAAAAAAAAAAAAAAAAAAAAAAAAAAAAAAGTATTGCTTGATTTTCAATTTGTTTCTATAGAAGTTTTGGTTGCCATTGGCCAAGTACAAGAGTTTCCTTAGCTGTAAGAGATGGAGAATGAATGTTCTATTGTTGAGACTCAAGTATGTTCATTTTTCCTATCTTAAGCCTTGTTTTGGTAGAACCCAAGTATTGCTTGATTTTCAATTTGTTTCTATAGAAGTTTTGGTTGCCATTGGCCAAGTACAAGAGTTTCCTTAGCTGTAAGAGATGGAGAATGAATGTTCTATTGTTGAGACTCAAGTATGTTCATTTTTCCTATCTTAAGCCTTGTTTTGGTAGAACCCAAGGAGAGAGACGTAGATAACCTACTTAGGTGAGGGGGCTGACGAGGAAGGGAGATGTCCTTGTGTTCGGTATGGAAGGAAGAAAAATAAAATTCACTTCTACCACAGATGCAAGGGAAAGAAAACATAATAACCCGTTCATTTTGCTAGTTCAAAACTCAAGTTTTTACTACAATATTTTCTCACATAAAGTTAAATTTAATTTTTTTTATTATAATATTTTCTCTTATATGAATTCACTTTTTAATTTAAATTATCAACTCGAACGAACAAAACAAACAAGGCCAATTGTACCATTACCTTTTATCCTTTGTTTGCTTTTTCTTTACTAACGAAGAGTAAAAAAGTAAATTGACAACATAGTCGACAAGTTCCATCCAATAATCCTTCCTATTAAGAGGGATCATAGTTGGGATTGTTTAGACAATTTTTTAATGTCTCGCTCAATTCATTACCTCCCGCGATCCTTCCTAGCTCCTACCAAATAATGGGCCCTAAAATCCTTTAACTAATCTCCCCCTATCCCTGTCCCTCCCTCCCACTTTTCCCTGCAAGCTCTTAGTGAAAACACAAAAGAAAAGTGTAAGCAACGATCCAAATTCGGAGTCAATGAGGACACCAGGGCGTCAAAAAGACGAGTTTCCAACACCTAAAGCCATATGGGATATGTAAAACTAGATGGCTCTGATACCCAAATGTAGAAGTAAAACCATGGGGCCTCACCAAAAGATCTAATTGAATGTATTAAGTATGTGAGCTCCTGCTTCTATACTATTAATTTCTCACATATTCCATATACATGGTTGAAGAAAGCAAAATAATACTAATGTTAATAATAATAATAATAATAATAATAATAATAAAATCAAAATAAAGATAGAAATAAAAATCTATGAGCTTGAAGAGCCAATGGTTTCACATGTTATGTATAAAAAATAAAGTAGATATTGGCGAACTTGACAAAGAAATACTGATTGCCAGTCAAAAAAAGGCCAGAAAAAGTAAAAGGACAAAATTGGAGGTCGTATACAATTTATTCCCATTATTGAGCAAGCTCATCGCTATGGAAATCGAAAAAACTGATTTCACATCAAATGCTGTGGTCCAAAATAAGAAAATTTTCCTACTATAGGTGAAGCCAAAATTGTCACCTCAAACAATACGGCTTGTAGAAGTCCCAAAAGTGAAAGTTCCATAATGAACCTGCAAATTTGGACAACAAAGAAAATTTTTAAAGACCTTATCATTGTGGTCATCACTACATGTGCCTAAAGATTGACAAATCTAAACCTACTTACTCAGGAACGCACCTAACAGCTAAGACTACAAAGCAAAGAAGAAAATTTGCAATCTTACTTGGGTCATACCAGTGCAATTGTTAAATTATCATACAAAGGTTCAATCAATCCCCTTTGTGAAGCGAAATTCAATTGTCTAAACTACATAAAAAATAATCTTTAAAAAAAAACGCAAAACAGGAGGATGGAAATTTACCTTAAAAGAGAGAGTAATAATAACAAGAATAACGGCAAGTAAATCAAGTAGAATCAGAAAACTAACCTGCTATTTTCCGCCAGACATGGGTTTTCTCAGAAACTGCAAAGATCTTGAATATGAAAGCCAAAGAAGATCTGATCCTTTGTTGTCCCTTGTGCGTATGATAGGAGTTTTATATTGCACTTCTCTCTCAAAAACCCTGGTACATCTAGATAATAAGAATAATGAAAAGGGATTATGTAGCACTAGCTGTACAATCTTCGGTTGAAGAAAAGCTAGTTGTCTTGGGAACATCACTCCCTCTAACTACTCTATTATATATAACTTTGAAGGACTGTGAGCCATATGGTCGACTGAGCAAACTAATCGGCATTCTCAGAGTCTGCTTTCGGTTCCTTCTCCCCCTTATTAAAATGCTAAAGGTTCTTTCACCATCCATCTTTTCATCACTGCGTCCAGCTTTTCCACTCCTCCTGTTACTTGGTTCATTTCCAGCATTTTCAGCCCCTCCTAGATTTGAAGGACCATTTTCCTTAATATTCTCCAACCCAACTCCAGCTACCGGATTTGCATGACCAATTGCCTCTGATGCTTGAAGGTTCGCTTCTTTCTTAACCTCCGTTACAGTTTCAATGTCGACGGGCAGAATTGGAGCAGAATCATCATGCTGTGGTATTTGCTCCATTACAGGATCAGCAATTGGCTCAGCAACAGGTGCTGGAACAGAGAACTCCACTGGATGGCAGGCAGTCCAAACCGGTCCAGCAGCAAACTCTGGTACACTCAGATTCATATTGCACTGCCATGGGAAACGATTGGGATGAAACGCACTGCTTGTTACAGGGAAAGTGCTGCTTGGAACCGGCTGAGGTTGAGTATAAGGAGGGTACATAAAGGGCAATGGTTGAATCATGTTGGGCGTTGGTGGAGGAGATGGGTATGGGTGATGAGGTGATGAGCACATTGGATTAACTGTAGGTAAGACAGCACCAGGCCCTGGGTGAAGATTCATGTTTACCGGCCAAGGTGCAATAGCCGGGACACCACCAGGACCAACAGAAAGAGTAATGTTCATGGTAACCGGTGTGGGACGTGCAATGGCTGGAGAGGGGTTGAATGGAGCTGCAGATGCCGACAACTTCTTATTGGTAAGTGCACGACTATCGCCTGAATTTAAAGATTTGTCCTTCAAACCGTCTGCCTCCAGTAGATTGGGGCTGGGACTAACATGTAGTTCAAAACTGCTAGATGAATTCTTCTCAGAGAGTCCCTCCTCCTTTGAAGGAGCAAAAGAATCTTGCAGCCCATCGATCAATGAGTTATCTTCTATCACTCTAGAAACCTCAACACCGCTGGACCCAAGTCCATCCATACTCCCAAACACAATTACAGAAGGTTTTTCTTCCGTTGCATCAGTTGAATGAGTCTCTTCTTCCTTAATAACTTTAGTTTCCTCTTTCAAAAGATCTGTAGAATTCTCGTTCTTGTCTAGAAGTATATTTTCTACTCCAGAAACAATTGAATCAGCGTTTCCTTTTGCTTCATTTGTTTCCTCTTCGTGTTTTCCAACATCATGTTCAGTGTTGTCCCGAATATCACTTTGAGGCATCTCAACTTGCATCTTAGCAATAGTACCTGGTGGAGCCAATGCTACTTCCTTATATGATGGAGATTTGCCAAGACTAACAATAGGATTTTTCATGGAATTTATGTCATTTAATGAACTTTGACCAGATTCTACAGGAGAGACAAAAACCAGGCCACCATTTCTGGAAGTCTCTGGTGTAGCAGTTTTAGTGGATGAAGGCATTGACTTGACTCTGTAGGTTACAGTTTTAACTATTCTTCGTCCAAACTTCGTAACCTGGGAGGTATTGGTATTCTGTTGATCCATATGACTTCCATGAGATATTGTCCTTTTCTTCACAACATAATACCTACTACTACTTTGAAGATTATTCTTCACAGAAGGATATTCCACGTCAGTATCCATATGTTTCTTCTGGTAAGTATAGACTTTGCCAATAGTTGCCCGACGCTGCTTTAAACGTCGTCCATAGGAGTTAGCTGATCTAGGCCTTTGAACTGGTTGCCATCCTTCTTCTCCTTCAGAAGATACCTCACCGGAACTATTCGGTCTTTCCACTGAAGACTCTTCTAAAACAGTCAAATGGGGCTCAACTGGTACAGCGGTGGGCTCCTGGATGACACCTGTACTGCCTTGTGGTTCAAGAATAGGTGTCTCTTCATCTGAAGTCTCTTTTGATGTTTCCTTCGGAGACTCGTCAGAACTTGCTACGCTGATAGTTTGGTAAGATTTTCCCTTCAACTGGAGAGGAAAAATGAAATAGTATGATGAGAACCATGCGAAGGATAAGAAGATGAAAAATGGATTAATATTCTTTTATTATCAATGGTCTAAAAATTTGCTTAAATTTCAACGAGAGAAAAAGAGGTTTATCAAGAAGTTATGAACTTAAGCTCCAAATACCTTTGTCATGTTGCTTTTCCTCTTGGACGCATCCCTCCCCTTCGCATCATGGCTTGGATTAATGTAATCGAGCAAATCTGAAACACTGCAAATATTTGTTGGGGAAGAAAAGTATATTAGTAAAGAGAAAATATGCTTGGTAAGGAAGAAAGTGCAATCATGCTCAACCTATTTAGCTAACTGCAAACATAAAGTGCAGAAGCATAATCATGGTGACATTAATACAACTGGTTTGGTTATCGCCTATCACATTTTATTTATGAAGGTAGCCAAAAGCTATTCTCTAACACAGCACGTTCTAACTATTCCATGACGGTCTCATGACCCCAGGAACCTTCTTAAGGAATTCTATGACATTTAAGTCTCGAAGCATAATAGAATTGGAATTTTCTGATAATTCATTAGATGCAATTCGGGTACATATATACACAAGGATCCGTTGGGATTGATCCTGATTTCTAGGTGCTAATCCTAATATTAAGGAAAGTCAATTACAGCTGTACACAAGAATAATATCCCTAGATACTATAGATCCACAAAAATAGGAAACTAACAATTGCCCTATACGGCTAGTTTGAATTCCTACACTCCCCCTCAAACTAGGTGGTATATACTTATTAAACCAAGTTTAGAACTTAGCTCAACAAAGTTTGGACGAAAGAGTGCCTTCGTGAGGATGTCTGCTGCTTGATGCCTAGATGGGACATGTTTTAGTGATATAGCATTGCTCTCTATCTTCTCGCTGATGAAGTGTCTGTCGATCTCAACATGCTTTGTTCTATCATGATGGATAGGGTTTTTGGCAATAGCAATAGCTGATTGGTTGTCACACATCATATCTATAGGACCAGAGATGCCAACTTTAAGTTCATCTAGTAGCCGTTTTAACCAGATTCCTTCACAAATACCCTGAGCTAAGGCTCGAAATTCTGCCTCAGCACTACTGCGTGCCACCACCTGCTGTTTCTTACTTCTCCATGTCACCAGATTTCCCCATACATAGGAGCAATATCCTGAAGTTGATTTTCGGTCAATGGGGGATCCAGCCCAATCCGCATCCGTGTAAACCTCCAGGGAGCGATTAAGAGTCTTTTTGAACATGAGTCCCTTTCCAGGATCCCTTTTAAGGTATCTAAGAATACGGTCCACTGCCTCCATGTGTGTGACTGAAGGATTGCTTAGAAATTGACTAACACGGCTCACTGCAAAACTTATATCAAGACACATGTGAGTCAAGTAGATCAGCTTCCCGACTAAGCGTTGATATTGTCCTTTATCCACAGCCATTTCTTCAGTTCGAGGCATCAACTTCGTGTTAGGGTCCATAGGAGTGTCCACCAGCCTACACCCAATCATACCGGTTTCCTTTAAGAGGTCCAAGACATACTTTCGCTGGGAAACTGAAATTCCAGTCCTTGATCTAGCCACTTCCATTCCCAAAAAATATCTTAGATGACCCAAGTCTTTGATTTCAAACTCTTTGGATAATAGAAGCTTAAGTCTCCTTATTTCCTCTTCATAATTTCCGGTGAGAACTATATCATCAACATACACTATTAACACAGTAATCTTACCGTTGGTGAAGTGTTTGAAGAATAGAGTGTGATCGGCTTGAGACTGTAAGTAGCCATCTTGTTTTAGTACCCTCGTGAATTTGTCGAACCATGCACGAGGTGATTGCTTGAGCCCGTATAGTGACTTTCGTAGCCTACAAACTCTACCTCGCATATGATCAGTTTCGAACCCAGGAGGTATATCCATATATACTTCTTCTACTAAGTCCTTGTTTTAGTACCCTCGTGAATTTGTCGAACCATGCACGAGGTGATTGCTTGAGCCCGTATAGTGACTTTCGTAGCCTACAAACTCTACCTCGCATATGATCAGTTTCGAACCCAGGAGGTATATCCATATATACTTCTTCTACTAAGTCCTTGTTTTAGTACCCTCGTGAATTTTTCGAACCATGCACGAGGTGATTGCTTGAGCCCGTATAGTGACTTTCGTAGCCTACAAACTCTACCTCGCATATGATCAGTTTCGAACCCAGGAGGTATATCCATATATACTTCTTCTACTAAGTCCTTGTTTTAGTACCCTCGTGAATTTGTCGAACCATGCACGAGGTGATTGCTTGAGCCCGTATAGTGACTTTCGTAGCCTACAAACTCTACCTCGCATATGATCAGTTTCGAACCCAGGAGGTATATCCATATATACTTCTTCTACTAAGTCCTTGTTTTAGTACCCTCGTGAATTTGTCGAACCATGCACGAGGTGATTGCTTGAGCCCGTATAGTGACTTTCGTAGCCTACAAACTCTACCTCGCATATGATCAGTTTCGAACCCAGGAGGTATATCCATATATACTTCTTCTACTAAGTCCTTGTTTTAGTACCCTCGTGAATTTGTCGAACCATGCACGAGGTGATTGCTTGAGCCCGTATAGTGACTTTCGTAGCCTACAAACTCTACCTCGCATATGATCAGTTTCGAACCCAGGAGGTATATCCATATATACTTCTTCTACTAAGTCCTTGTTTTAGTACCCTCGTGAATTTGTCGAACCATGCACGAGGTGATTGCTTGAGCCCGTATAGTGACTTTCGTAGCCTACAAACTCTACCTCGCATATGATCAGTTTCGAACCCAGGAGGTATATCCATATATACTTCTTCTACTAAGTCCTTGTTTTAGTACCCTCGTGAATTTGTCGAACCATGCACGAGGTGATTGCTTGAGCCCGTATAGTGACTTTCGTAGCCTACAAACTCTACCTCGCATATGATCAGTTTCGAACCCAGGAGGTATATCCATATATACTTCTTCTACTAAGTCCTTGTTTTAGTACCCTCGTGAATTTGTCGAACCATGCACGAGGTGATTGCTTGAGCCCGTATAGTGACTTTCGTAGCCTACAAACTCTACCTCGCATATGATCAGTTTCGAACCCAGGAGGTATATCCATATATACTTCTTCTACTAAGTCCTTGTTTTAGTACCCTCGTGAATTTGTCGAACCATGCACGAGGTGATTGCTTGAGCCCGTATAGTGACTTTCGTAGCCTACAAACTCTACCTCGCATATGATCAGTTTCGAACCCAGGAGGTATATCCATATATACTTCTTCTACTAAGTCCTTGTTTTAGTACCCTCGTGAATTTGTCGAACCATGCACGAGGTGATTGCTTGAGCCCGTATAGTGACTTTCGTAGCCTACAAACTCTACCTCGCATATGATCAGTTTCGAACCCAGGAGGTATATCCATATATACTTCTTCTACTAAGTCCTTGTTTTAGTACCCTCGTGAATTTGTCGAACCATGCACGAGGTGATTGCTTGAGCCCGTATAGTGACTTTCGTAGCCTACAAACTCTACCTCGCATATGATCAGTTTCGAACCCAGGAGGTATATCCATATATACTTCTTCTACTAAGTCCTTGTTTTAGTACCCTCGTGAATTTGTCGAACCATGCACGAGGTGATTGCTTGAGCCCGTATAGTGACTTTCGTAGCCTACAAACTCTACCTCGCATATGATCAGTTTCGAACCCAGGAGGTATATCCATATATACTTCTTCTACTAAGTCCTTGTTTTAGTACCCTCGTGAATTTGTCGAACCATGCACGAGGTGATTGCTTGAGCCCGTATAGTGACTTTCGTAGCCTACAAACTCTACCTCGCATATGATCAGTTTCGAACCCAGGAGGTATATCCATATATACTTCTTCTACTAAGTCCTTGTTTTAGTACCCTCGTGAATTTGTCGAACCATGCACGAGGTGATTGCTTGAGCCCGTATAGTGACTTTCGTAGCCTACAAACTCTACCTCGCATATGATCAGTTTCGAACCCAGGAGGTATATCCATATATACTTCTTCTACTAAGTCCTTGTTTTAGTACCCTCGTGAATTTGTCGAACCATGCACGAGGTGATTGCTTGAGCCCGTATAGTGACTTTCGTAGCCTACAAACTCTACCTCGCATATGATCAGTTTCGAACCCAGGAGGTATATCCATATATACTTCTTCTACTAAGTCCTTGTTTTAGTACCCTCGTGAATTTGTCGAACCATGCACGAGGTGATTGCTTGAGCCCGTATAGTGACTTTCGTAGCCTACAAACTCTACCTCGCATATGATCAGTTTCGAACCCAGGAGGTATATCCATATATACTTCTTCTACTAAGTCCTTGTTTTAGTACCCTCGTGAATTTGTCGAACCATGCACGAGGTGATTGCTTGAGCCCGTATAGTGACTTTCGTAGCCTACAAACTCTACCTCGCATATGATCAGTTTCGAACCCAGGAGGTATATCCATATATACTTCTTCTACTAAGTCCTTGTTTTAGTACCCTCGTGAATTTGTCGAACCATGCACGAGGTGATTGCTTGAGCCCGTATAGTGACTTTCGTAGCCTACAAACTCTACCTCGCATATGATCAGTTTCGAACCCAGGAGGTATATCCATATATACTTCTTCTACTAAGTCCTTGTTTTAGTACCCTCGTGAATTTGTCGAACCATGCACGAGGTGATTGCTTGAGCCCGTATAGTGACTTTCGTAGCCTACAAACTCTACCTCGCATATGATCAGTTTCGAACCCAGGAGGTATATCCATATATACTTCTTCTACTAAGCAGAAACTTGAAGATGCGTTTGGTCTCTACTATTCTTTTGAAATAGGTTTTGTCATCAGGACACTTCCATTCATGAGATTCAAAGAGGTCCAACTGTTGCCAATACCTCGTCAGAGTGGTGAAAAAGGTGGTGACTGTATTTTCTCCTTGCCTTAGGTCATGTAGGATACTCTCCACATGGAAGAGTTCTGCAGTATTCTCACTGCTAGAGAAAGTGTCACGAGCTGCGTCCCATATTTCTTGGGCTGAAGTGTAAAGGAGGAAGTTTTCGCCTATCTCAGTAGTCATTGAACTGATTAACTAGGACATGACTAGGTTGTTTTCTGCCCTCCAAGTTTTAAATTTAGGATCACTGGAATTTGGTTGGACAACCACACCTGTAAGATAATCATCACAGCCTCGTCCACTGATAAACATCATCATGGAGTGAGACCATTGGAGATAGTTGTGGCCATTGAGTTTGTGGTTGATGATAGGTGTAATACTATTTTCGGGAGTGATCTGCAGATTGATAGGAGTATTGAGAGATGAAGTGGTAGATGAAGATAAGTCCCTGGAAGTCTGCTCAGAGTCGGCCATGGTGGTCGAGATTTCCGAGAGAGAGAGAGAGGGTAAGGGCTCGATTTTCACAGAAGTGAAAAAAAAAAAAGTGAATTGGGGATAGGCTAGGGCCGGCGGCCAGAGAGATGAAAATTAGGGTTCAGAAACCTGAGGCTCTGATACCATGAAGCAGAATAGAATTGAAATTTTCTGATAATTCATTAGATGCAATTCGGGTACATATATACACAAGGATCCGTTGGGATTGATCCTGATTTCTAGGTGCTAATCCTAATATTAAGGAAAGTCAATTACAGCTGTACACAAGAATAATATCCCTAGATACTATAGATCCACAAAAATAGGAAACTAACAATTGCCCTATACGGCTAGTTTGAATTCCTACAAGTCTATATTGGGAGAGGAAATAACCAGAGATTATGGGGTAAAATGACCAAGAAGAAAAAGGCTACAAAGTCAGATGGGAAGAGTTCAAATCTTACTGATAATTTTGGAGAGCCCAAATTATTAGAGGACATTTCTAACTTACCTCAGGTGACCTTTACTGGCGATAGAGCCCAAATTATAAGAGGACATTTCTAACTTACCTCAGGTGACCTTTACTGGCGATAGAGGCATCAGGCTTTTGAGTACCATTCCTTGCAGCCTCTTGCTGTTCAAAAGCCTTAGACTCGAAATACTCGAGCCAAGCAGCAGCATCCTGAAGATTTTTGTCACAAAATTTCAACGTTAGATTGACTACGAATTCTACTATAATAGAGTATGGCAATTCATGGACACATCAAACCAAGAAAAAGAAGAGCACGCATAGAGTACAACATGTATATGCATTCTAATGCAATTAGGGCCGTTATTGAAGTTCATAATTATGCTATGATCATAGCCTTTTGAACCTATGCACTATTCACTAAAAAGATTGGAAATGATGGATGAGCAAGAGGTTGCTACAACTCTCCATTTTTTCCTCAGTCCATGTCCACTTTTCCTATCAACGAAACAAGAAATATGCTTTTTTGTTCTTCCTCCTTCGACCCTTTGCTTTTCCTTATGAACATCTCTATCAAGTAGTGGTTTAGACATGCTTCAGAAGACGCCTACCTGAGTACGTAGGTCATCAGGACCAAGTTTTGCTCGCAGAATTTGCAGGGTTGTCTGCTCATGTTGAACACTCAAAGGGTATGCTTCCATCAATGAGAGGGCAATTGCAATAGCATGGTAACTTGCTGCTGTCTGAAGAACATTAGCACAGATTAATTCATATTTCAGCTTCTAAATCATCTTGCATATGACACGAATGATGGTAATTTACAAGAATATTGGTCCTCTACCATCATCCACGCATACTGATTAATTCATATCAACCATAACAAGCTTTATTGAAAAAGATCTGGTTAAACCGTGTTGAATTTCAGCTGATGGATATAAAGTACTGAACCTGAATATGGTCTGGGCCAAGTAACCTTTGGTTACATTTCAGAGCTTTGTGAAGATATCTAAGGGCAACATGGACATTTCCCAGACCTTCTTCCATCATAGCCACATTGATGTACGTTGCAGCAGTGTTTGGATGAGATGGACCACATGTCAGATGCAAAAGATACAGAGCACGCTTTACATACCTGGACAAAACAAAAATTGATTTTCAAACAGGGGAAAAGGAATAGCATCAATACATCGACGAATTAACCAGCTAATTAGCATTTTAATGCAAATATAAGTAAATCAATGCAATACATCCATAAATGAACAGGCTATGTGATTATAGTGCTTTATCTCCCTGTATATGCCCAAATCTACTAAATCCAGAAAAGAACATAAAAGCATAATACGTGAACACATATGAACCATTTTGTGGAAAATCCATTGAAGCACCATAAAAGCGTCTATTTCTTTAAGTTTAGTGCAATTGACTGTATAACTAGCATGTCTTGCACTAACATGGTCTATTATCCATATCATAACGACATCAGCCCAACAAACTATAGCATGCCTAAACGTAGATCATGTAGGAAACCAACTTAAACCAAGCTCATAACTAATTTGTAGATATATCCCTTTGCACAAGAACATTACATACTTGAGAGCCAGCTCCGTATGTTGAAGTCTGTAATAGAACACAGCAAGATCCCCATAGCTCTTCATCGTGTCTGGATGATCAAGTCCTAATTCTCTCTCATTGATATCCAAGGCTTTTTGTTGATAAATTGTAGCCTGCAATATGGACAAACAATTGATTTACAAAACTCTACTAGAAAAAAAAGAACTCAACATGTTACTTATACGCTTAAGCTTGACTATCTCTGGCAGTTTCTAGATCCTAGAACAACGCATATATATTCCGTAGATTTGAATCAATAACAAATAATCAAGATTAGAATTACTTTGATCCTACAACACAGCATAATGTCTAAATAAATAGATTTTCCTGCAACACCCAAACAAGGACAACAGGTGGACCTGATTGAAGTCTCCAGTGTGATATAAAACTACAGCAAGGAGGCTGTAAGCTCCTGCTGTCATTCGATGATATGGACCACAAACTGCTACAAGCTTTGCAAGAGCCTGCAAGAATAAAATAAGTAAAGCTGGTGATGGGCTAAACTTTTTAGGCGAGTTTTTAAAGCACCAGATATCTACCTTGGTTCCATAAGAAACCGCATCTTCAAGTTTTCCTTTATCCAAAGCTGTTTTGGAAGATTCTAGTAGCTGCCTCCCATCTGCGGAAGAGCATGCAGCTTGCTGCACATAAATGGAAAATGCAGCTAAATCAAAAATATGAACAGTAATCAATTAAGAGAAATTGAAATAAATATATATTATTTCGATGGGTGTATGTCCAGTTCATCACCTTATGCACAGGCACTAAGCTGACAACATCCGACTTTCGGAATGGGTTCGGAGAATCCATGTCGAAATCCCTAGGAACCAACTCTATACCAACCTGGATATTTGGGTTCCAGAAGAAAAATAAATAGATAAATAACAGCCCCATTAACTTGTTAAGAGCTACAACATATGACATTAAACTTCTATTTTCACGCAAAATACTTTTTAGAAGCAAATTTTCTTCATGTAATGATATGTTGATTAAGTGGCAGTATCCAGAACTCTGAAACCATATTCTAATTAAACTACCTTATGACATAGTCCACGTAAGATTGCAAATTTCCTCAAGTCCTTGTAACTGAAGCTGCTGAGATCCCAGTCATATCGCTTTTTCAAGAATACTTCCAGCCATCTCCACACAAGAGAATGGACATTGCAAGACTTATTACACTCATCGTCTTCAGGAATACCAAGCATAAGATTGAGTGCGGCAGCTATCGACACAGCCATTTTATCATTCTCTGCAACAGCAGAAATTACTGCCTGAAGAATGTGCTTAAAAGCTCGTACTATCATCTCATGAATGCAAAGTGACTGGACATGAGATAGCTTTTCTGAAAGCTTGACCTAGTAAAGAAAAATCACAAGCAATAATCAGTCATTTTGGGAGACTTATATGATCAGGAGTTCACCCTTAATTTCTAGCTCCACTAAGGATAAATCCTGTAACAACTATAAGAGAAATTATCAAAACAACACCAAAGACAGGAAATTATTAAAACAAAACCGAAGACTATTTTATGATGCTTTACATGGGGCTCGTTAAGATATATGCTTGTGTGGTAGCCGATATTTTTCAAAAACAAAAAACAAAAGAAGAAGAAGACCTAGCTATCTAGGAGGTAGAGTCAGACGAAACTTTCTATGTAAGGTTTGATGAGGTAAACATTTTTCGGTAGAGGTAAACATAAAAGAAATGCATGTTAGGTAGATGAAAATATGCAGACATGAATTAAAGAAAAAATCAGGATCTGCAAAAGGCACTTACAACATGTCCCAGAGAACGCATCCGCAAACCCCTGGTATGCATGAAATCAGTCAAAGTCCGACCATCAACTGGAGAAAGTTCCAATGAACCAAAATCTGCTACCTGTATTGGTTCAGAAATACAAAAGTGAAAATCACCATAACCATATATTGTGCTCAGAGAAATAATGGGATTCAAGTAAACAAAATTCAGCAATTACCAGTTTGGGAAGAGCAACTTCCAAGTAATACTTCTGAGATAAGTCAATTAGTTCTTGAAGAGACTGCCAAATATGTGGTACGTTAGCTCACACTACCGAGCAGAAAACTGAGATGCTGTAGAGATCTAATGGTAACTGCAAAATATTACCTTGCAGTGAAGTCCAGTTTCAGATTCTTTAAGTCGAGCAAAGGCTGCATCAGACAACAACTTCTTCAAAGCAAGCTCATTCTCTTTGGCAGTGGTTTCAACCTCCACCGAAGGTGATGTAGCAGTTTCAGCTTCCATAGTAGCACCATCTGCAGGAGACCATAAGTTCTGGGGTTGGAATTTCGTGTTGTTTCCCTCTAATTTCTTCTTGTTCTTAAGGGACCTAAGAGGTGTTCCAAGCCCCTCAACCTTCATATCGTTCCTAGCCTTCTCACTAGATGGTTTCTTATCTTTGTCTGTATTTTTCTGGTCTTGCAAGTGTTGTATCCAGCAGGCCCCAAGTTCCCACCTAACAAATTGGTCCAAACTTACGCCCTCTTGCTCCAATTTGACAAGACCGTCTTCTAAAAGTTTCTCAACAAAACCACAGGATACAGAAAGCTCTTGATGTTCGAATGTCTGAAAATCTGATCCGAGCTTATAGTGCTCCGAAGCCTGTGTGTTGTGGAGTAGTAATCTCAAACTGAAACAACAAAGAGACTAGTTACTAGTTAGGCAATTATGAAGAACAGAATAAAACTGAGAAGGAAAAAATATTAAAAAATAAAAATAAAAAGACCCCCAAAACTATGAGCTAGGTACCACCAACCATTATGTAAAAGCACAACCTAGAAGTTCTATAATTAAACAACTAAGAATATAAAATACACATACACACACACACACACACACACACACATGTTCAACACAGCATTAGAATATAATGTCAACGCATAAGGGCACATTTTAACCTTTAAGTAATACCTGCTAATATTAAGAGCGTTGGCACCTCCTTCAGGCTGATCAAGAAGTTCACTGCTTTGGGATGGAGAACTGACTTTCTCATCTTTACCCTCTACTTTCACAACTGCAATGTAACCGCAGTATCTTACATTCACAACACCCAGAGTGGAAACATCCTGCAAACCAGAAGGTAAAGTCTTATTCAAGAATTTTGGCAAAAGAAACTCCTCAAACAATCACTATCAGAAACAATTTGAAAATTCCCCATGCTTTTTAAAATTATTCGAGAGAGTGTCTTACGTGGGCAGCAGTGTTTTCATCAGCAGTTATCCCTTTCAGAAGATTTCTTTCTACTAGATTCTTTTTATCAGCTCCAAATGCTTGAACTCCATCAATTTTAGTATCAATCTTAGTGCTTGCATTGGGAGCATCTTTCATGACTGTGATTCTCAAGTCCCCCACTTTCTCAGTATGAAGGACATTGCTGTCTGTGACTGGAAAGATTAAATCCCTTTTGTTCATTACATGCCGAATGGCTTTAATGGCTCTGAAAATGGAGACGTCAACAAATAGGCTGTGAAGAAGGAATGCCTTCCTATCTCGAACCTGCCTTTCCTCGGCTGTCTTGCAAGGCATGGATGCAATAAATGAAAACTCACTAGCCCAAGGTATCAGGTCGCTTTGCCCATCTCTTCCTAGCCCACCTCCATTTCCTCCCCAAGATTCATCCTCCACAGGGAGAGGAGGGAAAACTGACGGCGACTGGGCTGCAACTGGCGGGACAAGCCACGTGTTGGCTCTGAACCCACAAGGAAGATTCCCAAACTGAATAAAGGTATAAAAGAGCTGCTTGTAAGAGAAAGGAAACTCTATGGCAAAGACGAAAACAAGTTTGAAAAGGTAAGTGGCAAAAGAAAATTGGAATGATGATGTACCTTGTTGCGTTCTGAGAATGCTTTCATGAGATCATCATAAGCCTGAAATATGAAAAAACGACACATCCAACTTCACCCAAATTCTTGATCATCCAAAGAAAGAAAAATTAAGGAAAGATATTTTGTCTCTGTGTCCTATGTTTTTTTTTTGGAAAAATTTGTGTGATATCGCATATCCCAGAATGTCTAAAAGAAAAGGCAAGAAGAACATGCAGCTTGCTCATTTGTTTCACTAATTTGAATCACAACCTAAGTTTTTACTACAGTTTTTCCTCTCATAAAAATTCAAATATAGTTTTTTTCCTTACAAAAATTCAAATTCTAACTTTTTGTTCTACAGTCTTTACTCCCGCGTAGAGTCACTTCTCAACTCAAATTAAAAACTCAAATCGACGAGGTTGTGACCATGAATTCAACACTTTTCATTGACAGTATCAAATAAATATAAAATGGAAATAATCTCAGAAAAAAAATCAACAAAATGAAAATTCAAGCAAGTTAGCAAAAACTAACATTGTCAAAGGCTCTACTAAGCTGTCGTAACAGATCAACGAGGTTGTGGCACAGAATCCGCTGCTTCCCAACGCTATAAAACCCTTGCCTACAAGCTTCGACATGAACAATCTTTCCATTGCAAAGCTTCACCTTTTTCATCGCAAAACCAGCTTGTCAAAAACTCAAATTTCCAAAAAAATAAAATGTTCACGAATTGTATGTGAGACTTACTTCAAGAGAGAAAAGATGATCATCGACCAAAATGTCGTCGACTTGCCGTCTCATCACTCTCTTTACAACTGCAAAATTCAGAGAATTTTCGATAACATCTTTGCAAAATCCAACAGATATTCACAAAATGCAATTATTTAGAGAGAAACTAAAAGAAGAGTACATTGCAGAGGAGGAGTGAGGTGAGAGAGAGAGAAGAACTCGTAGAAGGCGCCGAGCTCCGGACACGAGTGAGTCATCTCGGTCTCCGAGTCAACCGCCGGAGAGCCTTGGGACTTGGAGGTGGCACCGGCGGCGGCGCCAGCGGAGGGTTTCTTCGCGGTCTTGCTATCCTGCGCACTCGACGGCGCAGGTTTAGCGCCGCCACCTGTCGGAGACGACGACGCATCGGGCTTCGCGCTCTGGTCCTTGCCAGCCGACGACGTTCCGAAGCTCGTCGTACAGGCCACGAGGTCCAACAGCCGTCTAACGTGCGACGTGGCCCTCTCCTCATCGTAGTCCTCTGCCAAAAAAAACTTATTTATTAAAAAAAAAAAATGGAAAGAAGACTAACGATGTCGTCTTCGTTTTTTTTTCACGAGTGTCGTTTTTGTTTTTGCGTTAACGAATGTGGCATAAAAAAGGAGGGAGTTGCAACGATGTCGTACGCTTAAAAAAAGAAGAAACGACGTATAACGAAACGACGTCGTATTTGCTTAATACTAAGGAATGTCTATTAGAGTTACCTTCGACCAGAGTTAGTATGCAGGGCTTCAGTGCGGAGATGTCCACTGTATCCTTCAATCGCGGGCCTCTTACCTGTAATGAATGAGTTGTTTGGTGGTTATTTTGTACTCTGAAATGTCCAATTTGACCTTATAATTCAATTACCGCATTGATTACAGGAAAAATACGAGATCAAATAATTAATTGATTATTTTCAATCCATTTTGAATGATTTCTTGTCGTGGCCTTCTATTTTGATTTTTATTTTTATTTTGGGCATGGATGTTTGGTGTTTATCGTTATTTTATTTCGTATGATACTATGATATCACATGTCAACCCCTCAGAATTCTGACCACATGTTACGAGGAGTATCCCGTAAGTGTATATTTTCGAACGACATATTTGCCAAGCAAAGAGTGAGCGACAAAATGTACTAAAATGATCAAGCTAACAAAACTCAAAAGCCATGTTTCGCGTTACGGCTAGTGAAAAACATGGTAACATGGTAATAGCCTTTGGAATAACATGGTAATTACCTCATGGGTTAGTGAAAAATTTGTGATGTTGCAAGTTTCTGTGTTCACACGTAATAATCTACCAACGTCGATGATCCTGTCTGTTGATATTCCCTGCTTAAGATTTTGAGACAGTAAAAACTATTTAAAAAACAAAAAAAAAATACATATCTTGAAGCATATATATTGCTCTCAGAAATACTTTAAGCCACTAACGCCTAGTAAGTTAAAAAGATGGCCCTTTCTTATCTCTCATTGTATTTCTACCTAAAAAACGAATTATCTAATGTTTTTACAATAAAAATAAAGTTATTAATGATAAACAAAAGAAAAAATTTAAGTGCAAAATGTTTTGTTTTCTTGGGAACTAAATGACAGAGCAATTTAGATGCTTGCAATAGATTCTAGGTTCTATCATGGTCCATGGAAGTAGCATCTAGTTTTGGAGCCTATTGTAGATTTTTAAAACGACCAATAAGTTAGTGATTATTGGTATGCTTAAAATAGTGGAATATCATATAGAAAAATCACCTCTATAATGCAAAAACAGGCAAAACAAAAGATGCCCATGTGAAATGGAGGCAACACAAAGAACATGTACAAACAGAGTGACACAAAAAGAGAATTTTTATGCTGTGACTTGTAAAGAAGTCAACTAAATACAAAAATAAAAAATTCGATAAACTTGGCAGAACTTGACAGAACTTGATAATAGTTCCATCAGAAAAGCCATGAACTTGAAAGCATGTAACCTTTAAAATAACATTGGTTTCGTCAGGAAGGTTCACAGTGATGTCCATGACAACAGGAAGAACTGCAAAGCCAAAAAAAAACAATATTACATATATACATATATTAGTTATCAAATAAACTGGGTTTTTTCAATAATAGCAAATATATATTTATATATATATATATGTGTGTGTGTGTGTATTTAAACAAGTTCATACTCTTCTCTTGTTTCTTCTTCTTCTCTCCCTTGGACTTTCCACGGTTGTTCTTTGGCGCCATTTTGGTTGATTGAATGAGCTGAAACTTGAAGATATAAATGTTCAAATTGGACCCTTGTTTATGTACATGTGTAATAAGATAAACATAACATGTTAATCCTAGCAAATTGACAATCCCATAAACAGAAAAAAGCATAGGCCGCCAAGTAGTTATTACTTCTAGAAAGCAGACCTAAATATAGCTTTTAATACCTAAGTAACTAGTAACTTCAAGAAGTCAATTCACAAAGTTCACATAACAAAAAATGAAAGAGTAAAAATAATTACCAAGAAGCAGAAGAAAAGATTTGGGAATTGAAAAGGAAAGAAAAGAGAGTTCTCTTTAATGCAATATGAAAGTTTTCTGACGAAGAGAAAATAGGAGCTAAATAATACTGAGCAACCTCAGACTCTGAGGGAAGTTATGAAGATGCCAGAATGAAGTGAAGGCTTCTTCTCTCTGAGGTGGGTTTTTCAGAGATTGGATAATGAAGAAGGGAAAATAAGTACGGAGAAAGGAGGTAATGGATTTTGAAGGGGGCAAAAATAAAAAGGAAAAGGAAAAGAAAATTTTGTTTGAGAAACAAAAACCAAAAGAGAAAGAGATATAGAGGGACGTGGGTGTGATAAGGAAGGAAGGGTTGAGATTTAACAGAAATGGTATATTTGGCATTTTATGCCAGTCTCTGGCTTATGCAGAGTGATTATCATGTGGGTTTATTTCTTTTTTTATTATTATTATTATTTTCATGATTTTCAATTTAAAAAATAGTTTTTTAAAAAACTTTTTTATTATTGTAGGGATGTTGTAAAGAAAAAGGTGGGGGGGGTTTACAAAAAATAAATGGAACGACATCTTTAACCAAATTTAATTCATAAATACAAGGGGAGAGTCAACATAGGAATTTGATTAAAGGAAACTGTTAAATATCTTTTGAGTGGGAAATCGCCCTTAATCGCATTCAGTCAAACATTATAATTATTGAAAACAAAGTGAAAAAGGTTGAGGCTACTATGACTATATCTGCATGGATTTTGCAGTGTGACAATATGAAGTTCCTGTTTATACTATTCCTCGGCTTGTTTACCAAGGAGTGTGTCACACACGCGCACACACACGAATACATACATACATACATATACATATATATATATATATATATTGTCAAAATGAACTGTCCAAAAAAAAAATTTAAATTGCAACGACAACAGTGAAGAGTCTAGGAGTCTAATCCATTTACGTATAGATATGATTCATGTGGGTGGATAACCATCCACCATGAGAACGATGTCTTGTTGAAGTGGCTTGAAACAGACCTTTTGAGTTTTTTTTCTCTTTTTTTGTTTTTTTTTTTTTTTTTGAGTCCTTAAAATTGAATAAATTGTGTTTTCCACGGAACAAAGTTAAAAACAAGTTTTAGTTAAGATTCATTTAAAATAAAATTAGGAGGCAGAATATTACATATATATTCAGAGTCAGTTTGTTGATTTCCCCAAAAGGGTACAACTTACAAGCAGTCTTATTAAGATAAATTAAAAAAACAAAATAAAACGGGAAAAAATATTTATAAATTTGACAAGAAGAAAATGTATATTTTTTTTTTGAAAATATATACTTAAGAGGACAATGTTTCTGCATAGGAACAAAAGTGAAGTTTGGTGACTCGCGTACGTACGTATGAATTTCGTTGTTGCGTGACATGCTTCTCCACCACATTTCTTCCATCAAAATTCTTCTTATTTTCTTGGTTCTTAATTTTCCATCAATTAATATTTGTGTCATTAATTGAAAATAGTTTTGTATTTCTAAAAGTTATATATTGTTGGGAAGATATTATATGTGAAATTAATCCACACACTTTAAAGCTCAATTTAACTTAAAAGGTGTGAGACAACCCCAACTGCGGCAACTGTAACCGAATGTAATCGCTTAACTCATACAAACTATCGGTTCTGACACCACTTTGTTAAGGAGACATCACATGTAAAACTGGTCTAACACATTTTAAAAGTACAACTTGACTTAAAAGGTTAACCTATTAAGTCTTGAGTCTTTCCATATATATAAACCATATCACATCTTTATCTACTTTCAATGTGAGACAATACACGCACCTTTCTCAACATGTATGTACATATGAATTAGAGTTGACTTTAAAAACAACACAAGAAAAAAAGGGTAAATTTTGCACGAATAGTCTCTAAATTATTTAAAAGGGTGTAATATAATTTTTTCGGTCAAATGTCATCTAAAAAGTAACAGTACACGTGAGTTATCATGCGGTCCATATTTTTAGAGTTTATGTGTAAAATCACATGTTAAGATATTTGAGGCCATTTTATGCGCACTATCTCTCTCGTTGGAGAAGGTTCATGAAGATTCCAAAACACATAGGTGTCTGCAACATCCAAGCCAAGCCCACATCTGCATTTGCATTTTTTACCGACAACCCTCAAAATTACAAGGCTGCTTACGGGTTATGAACAAAAAAATGAAAGGAAACACCCAATTGAATTGAAGAAATGTCGCACCAGTAATGAACAATCTTTGGCAAAAACAGAGCTTAATCTGTCAAAATTTGCTAAACGGCAAACAACCAAATTTCACCAAATACATACTCATCATTATCCCAAAAGTTTCTAATTTTTCATGAAATTAAATAATAATCAATTGCAAATAGTCATAATTTAATAAGAATTTTGAAGAAAATAAACCTATACTTAGAGATGCAACAATGGGCCGGGGCCCGTGGGCCGGCCCAGGCCCATCCAGACACAATGACGGGCCGGGTTGGCACGGCCCGTCACTATTCAAGGCACGGCTCAGTCTATAAATATTGGTGGGCTGGGTTGAGCCAACATATATCAGTCCATAGGCCGGCCCGGCCCATGAAAAATCATGGGCCAGGCTGGGCTTGGCCGGCCCGTCTGGGCCCATGATAGGTCGGCCCAGCCAGGCCCGTCTAGGCCCATAAGCCGGCCCATAATATATTCATATTTTTTTTCTTTTTTTAGTAATTTTATAAATATCTTATGTATAATTATCATAATTGTACTCTTTTTTTCTTACTAAAGTTTTGTCCCATTGGGTTTTCTTTAGAAATGTTTTTATTTAATGAGGCAATCGTAAATAAAATATATTTTTTTATATTTTCATTGACTATTCAAACATTTATATATTGTTAACTTGTTTAAAAATTCAAAAATAAAAAATAAAAAAATTGAAAGTTGCATGCTTAGATGGGCTGGCACATCTAACCCATGATGGGCCAAGACGAGTTTTGAATGGGTCAGCCCATTCAAGGCCCATGGTGGCCCACGACACGGCTCAACCTGGCCAAAGTAAAATTGGTATGTGATGTGGGCTGGGCCGAGGTAATTATTATATGGCCCGGCCCACAAAATTCGTGGGTTGGGCGGCCCAGCCCATGGCCCGAGTGGGCCTAAGGAGAACGGGCCGGCCCGTTCTTGCATCTCTACAAGTACTTCTCGATCGAGCATCTTATGCTCCAGGCTGTGAATCACCTCGTCAGATTCCGCCAGTTGCTAGTTTGTAATCCAAAGAACCTTCGAACCAACTCCTCTCAACAGAAACGCTAGTCCCATTAGCAACAATGGCCCTCCTGTTGCTGACTTAGCTTCCATTGCTAATCTCTCTCTCTCTCTCAATAAGATAACAGTAATTAAGGACATATTCATCTTTCCAGCAAAAACATGGGTCACGTGATAACTCACGTGCATTGTGTTGTTATTTTTTGGACGACATCTGACAGAAAAGACTAAATTGCATCATTTTAAATAATTTAGGATTCGTTTCGTCAAAAAAAAAATTTTTAGGGGCCAAACTGTCACCTTTTAAAGAGTCTGGAGACCATTCATGCAATTTACTTCAAAAAAAAATAGACTTCAACCATTGAAAAAAAAAAAAATTTGGGGGAATTTAGAGAAAATAAGTAAGTCAGAAGTTTTAGAAAGAGACTTCAAAAAGGTAGACAGGCACTTTTGGTCCAAACCTCGTGTATGTATCAAAAGTTTTACTTCGTTGTAGAAAAAGATTCAAAACTCTTTCGTGAATGGAGTTGCAGAGGATTTTTGCGGCTAACCGTAAACTAGAGTGTTTGTTCACCAACTTTCATATGTAGAGACTTTTGTTCTCTCTTATTTTTCTACCAAAAACTATAACATGGTTTTAGAAAAAATATATACCTTCAGTTCAATGGCCATATCAGTTCAATTAAAGTAGTATTTTTTGTTGATCAATGTAACATCGTTTGTATGTTCGAATAACATTTTGTTTAAGTATAACACTCAATAAAATATAATCTTGTATCATATTACATTACATTTGCTTCAGAGTTATCATGTTACACTAAAGAATTACAAATACATATAAAAAATGTTACACTTACCATATCATACAGTCATCAAACTCAAGACAATAACTATCTATATATATTTTTAATAGTTTGTATTTTTTTTATGCAATTATATAAGAGTTTTTACAGTTTACTTAATCAGCCTTATGACTTCGTTTTCCTACATTTATATTCGACTACTACCTACAAAAAAGCAAACGATACCAAGGAATGCATTTGCATATGTGCATAAAAACGAAATTTCTTTAATATTATGATATATTCAGAATGCTTTGGCGGTATATGTTTTTTTTTTTTTTGTTGTTTGATCAGAGAGGAAATGGCATTTTGAATATGATAGGTTCAAATATTTTGTATTGTTTCAAGCCTTTCTATGATAGTGCATATCTCTAGACACATTAAATCCTATCAATATCCTATCAAATCGAAATGTATGTAATGCTGTTAGTTTATTAATCCATCCCAAAAGCTTAAGCTATTAAGAGATGAGCCAACAATAGTTTAATAGTTTAATACTCCTCCTCACGTGTAGGCTGGATAATAGGCAATCGTGTAGGTAAATTAATTGGAAAGCCCAGTACGTGAATATTTAAACCCGAAATATATTCAAGACCCAACACATAATGACAATTTAAATGGAGATAAAGAGTGCAATTACGGGAGTTTGAACTCAGGATCTCCCGCTCTGATACTATGTTAGTTTATCAGTCCATTTTAAAAACTTAAGCTGTTAGGAGGTGGGTCAACAATAGTTTAATACTTTAACAAATGCAAAACTCACATACTAGAACGTTTGACGGTTTAAAACAAATTCATACCAATGGGGTATGTGTTAAAAATACTCCACGGCGGAATTCTCATACTATAAAATAAGAGCCAAAGGAAAATGCGTACGAAAGCTCTTTCATCACGAGCACTAATTGGCATGGATTAACCAGGCATGAAAAATATGACATTCTTTTCATGGTTGCAATTCAACTGAAAAAAAAAAAAAAAAAAAAAAAAAAACTTTGTTTTATTCTTCCCCTACAGGTTGGTGTGGTACAATTATGTTTACAAAACATTACATGAAAACCCACTACAAGAGAAATTTTAACATTAAAAGTAAACTAGTGGCCACTACTG